GAGAGGGGGAAGGAGGAGGGGGGAGGGGAGTAAGATCTCGCATCCGGGTAGCGTGGACGTGAACCAGGTACTTTACTCTAAAAATGCCCCACTCCACTCAGAAATATTACTTAATACTGATGAAATGCAAGGTAAATCGGACAAAATGCTGACAGGAAGCCCATGGTGGTCTAACGTCTCATCCAGGAGGGAATAGCAACACTTGTTAATAACTCCCACGGATGCCGGGATATGTTCAGGGGATATATTCAGGGAATATTGGCATTCGACCCGACAGCAGCCTTCCAACCCACCTTAACGCTACGCTAAACACTAAAACTTCTAAACAACGCACAGAATTTACAGCTGCATTTATTTTGCTATTCGTTTACCTACACGAAGATTCATTATCTTTACATTAAAAACTACCTAATTTTCTGTAAAATACCATGTGATAAATAAAAGATGCCGGCCCTCTACCCCAACCCCCTACCTCCTCCATCTTTGTTCCGGTTTGTAACATAATATGCAGGTCATACCTAAAATTTGGCTTGTTAACGAGTTCTTTAAGAAAAAAATACCTGCTTTTTAAAATATGGTTTTCCGAATAGGAAAATGTTTTCTTTACATTCCTTAAAAAGAAAGGGAAGAAAAGTTGCTTGAAAATGTTTGTCACAGGATAATTTTGCGTATGCCCCTCTGTCAGTATAGCAGGTAAAATTGTTACTTTCTTTGTAAATTACATTTATTTGTCAATTCGAAAAATATAATTTAGCCCTTCATATGTTGACAAGTACCCTTTGCCTATAAATTGGAAAAATATCTGTACAGTGTGAAATATCTCTTAATGACCTATTACTTGTTCTGAAATGGTTATTTTGAATTACAGATATATACAGTATCCACCAAACAGAAGAAGCACATAACACACCCACCCACCCCACCCCCTGAATACTCTACAGCACTTTGAGAAAAACAACATCTGGAATCAACGTTAATTTCAAACACAGCTAATATTGCAAGCTTTTCTCTAAAAATAATGATCTCTTAACTATATAAACATCTATTTTCTACTGACAATTGCCTAATAATTAGTTTTATATGAGAGGATGTTCATGAATTAAACTGCAATTCCACTAAAAGTTGACTTAAAGAGTTTTGTTTAAGAGATACATATTTTTTGCAGTCATATCTTAAATTCTCTATCACTCTTCTATTTTGTCCTCCTTTTCAGAATTATTTAATTCTATTTTCTTGGAGGTTTGGATTTTGATGAATAAATAAACAAAACATATAAAAAAAAAACTCTGTTTCATGTCTGAGATAAAGCACTACCAAACTATGAACCAGACAGCAGCCTCAAAAGAGCATCTCTTGTTCCTATAACAGCACTGAAACACAGGAATATAAATAACTATCAATAGAAGAAATGTCAAGCCAAATACTAGTGATGATCACCTCAATATTAGTGATGACAACAATACTAAATAAATGATAATTAGCAGATGAGTTGCTTGAAAATTAACTATATAAAGCTCTTGGATGCAGTCTCTTTAAACACCACATTACTTATTAATATTATTAATATTAGTGATGACAACAATACTAAATAAATGATAATTAGCAGATGAGTTGCTTGAAAATTAACTATATAAAGCTCTTGGATGCAGTCTCTTTAAACACCACATTACTTATTTCAAGAGTGTCTGACATCAAAGTGAATATGCAAATGTACCTTACCCAACTAATCCAAGAAATATGATTAATATGTCAATAAACCATTCCCCTTTGGTGAGATGCCTAGAGAAGAATGAGAATTAAGAACTGTATTTATTAAGGATGTGTAATAAGAAAATGAAAAAAATACACAAAATAAACAAATTAATGAATACAGGGATATGCCATTGGCAAGTTCAAGTCCTCTGGGTGTCTAAGTATTTTGGTACTTAGATGTCTGGCATAATTTTGCTTTAATGAAAACTCTTATGACCTAAGTGTCCCTGATTTCTGAAAGCAGAGCCTTCAGGTCCCAGGGGATTTTTCCATGGTCATAACTTTTGAAGACTTGAATAAGAAGGAAACAATTCAATCATTTTTTTTAAAACATCCAAACTATGCTCTGTCCCTTATGTCAAAAATTAGGTAATCCTGCTACAACCTGTACTTGAAGGCTGTGAATCAAAACTTGTTTCTTAATAAACTTACCCTTCAAAAATTCGCAAGTGAAATATTCCAGGTAAAACAAACCCTAACAGAGTACAACAGCTAGATCCAAAGAATGCCATGAGCGTGGAAAAGTTAGGAATAACAAGCACAACAATGCCAGATAGTACCACAACACAGGCTCGTAAAATAGTCTGCAAAAAAAAAAATTAACAAAATCTTTTAAGATTTAATTACAAACTTAAAAGTTTGTAATTGTGTATGACTCTTAAGTCACCAAACAACAACTGTGAAGAAGAATAAAATTGGGCCACCTCATCGTTACAGCTTTTTTGAGTTGCTCCTCAGTTTTGAGACCAAACATTGAAATCGTGGAGGATGTTTTTCATTTAACCCTAAATGGCCTAAATTTCAGATTTCTAATACAATTGATTTTCTGCTTAACAAGAAGATTCGACCAGTAATAACTATTCACTCTGCGCTGATGATGACCTATGCTACACTCACCCAGATGATCAGACAACATTAACAAATAATCTCCACCAGAACTGAGAATCTATTCAGATCATAACATTGGGAATTGTATGACCTGTTCACTTTCAGGAACTAGACATCCAACAAAATATAATAATTACCCCTTGGTAATAACTGCTTTTCCCTCCATCTGGAAGAAGTTTCTTCTCCAATAATAGCACTACAGGGAACATCATAACTGCAAATCAACCACAAACAAATTAAAACCTTGAGGCAAATTCTCTACCAAGTTATAGAAAAGTAAAAAAAAAACATAATAAAAATAAAACAAAGTACACGTACTTGGGTATGTAAAAAATAATGAGAAACAGAGACACAATTGAACCACAGCAGGAAAAGGACCTGGGAGGAAAGAAACAGCTCATTAATAAGAATAGGTCATTTTGCAGTTGTGTATTTAGTTGCCAAGCCTTTGATTTAGAGTGAGGCTGAAGGTGACCTTGTTGTGACAGAGACCAGTATTTAGTTGGTGTAATATAAAAGTAATTTACATTTGAAAAGCAGCAATGTCTGCATCATAACAAGGTCATCCTTAGCCTCACTCCTGTTCAAAGGCTTGGCAACCAAGCCCACGCATGCAACACTGTAAAATGGACTATTCAAAATAGATAAACCATTAATTTGAAATGAATATGTTTCCAAAATATTCCAAATTACATAATTATTAAGTATGCTCACTCTAAAGCCAAGAGCAAACAACAATACTATGCACATCAAATTATTATATATCCTTGTTAATTGTTAATATTCTTTAACCCATTAATGGCTGCAGCTTTTGTGAAAAACTGTGTTTTGAAGCTAGTCAAGCAGATTTTGAGTCACTGTTGTGATTTTAAAAGCTCAAACTTACCAAAAACCCATTGACAGCTTGTACACTCGACGGCCTTTCTATCCAAATGCAAAATGGCAGCCTGAAAATCTCGGGCACGTGCAGAAAGCAAAATTTCGAGATTTTGGGTTGAAAAGTAATGCCCTACTTATGACTTTTACTTTTCTCTCTTTCTCGTGCCCTTTTTTTCCCATCTCCTTGCCTGAAGTTTCTCCTCACTTGCTGGAATTTAGTAGGCTTCATTTTGGTGTAGAGATTTTTTAGGAAACTACTCATCATTTTCAAACCACATGCTCAGAAAGGTAGGTGGGTACTGGAAAAAGATTTTCGTGCAGATTTTCAGGTCAAAGTTACATGGTTTTTTTGCTATTCCTCCAATCTCCTTCACTCAATTGCGCTCATTCTGGTATCATTTGTAAGATATTTTCAATCTGTTCAAGTACGTGCTCAAAGTCGTGCTCCAGGGTTAAAAGTGATGACGTCACAAGGCGTAGAAAGGGTGTGGGTCCACATGGACGCATACAGGCCCACTGGACGTCAATAGGTTAATGAATTTATATAAATTGATTGATTTCATCTACAACATTTAGGGAAAGTTAGGGAAAATGAGATGAGCTCTAGCTGAATGGGCCACCTAGCTCAAGTGCAGCCATCCAACCTAGTATTCTAATTTGCACCTTTCCTTCTTACCAAAAGGTAAATTAAGAGTGATCATTTGCTGTGTGAGTTCTCCAAAAGACTAGAAAAGAAAGGAAAACCTCAGTTAGATCAGAGGTCTCAGGGATTTCAATAAACACACTCAGGAGCTAATTCTCCTGTTCTGATACAATGAGATCCACTACCATTCAGAGAGGATCACTCATCCACCAGAGATTAAAGAAGAAGAATTTTTGTTATCAAATTAACCCTTTATGCCCTAAACTTAGCATGCATGTATGTACTGCATACATGCATGTACTGCATGCATGCATGTACTGCATGCATGCATGTACTGTTTTCAAAACAATTCCTTTGGGCCTGACAAAGAGAATTTGTTTAGCAATCAAAAGCTTTGTTAGTTGGCTATTCATAAAACTTGGCTATTTATTCATAAAACTTTCAAGGCATTTATTAACCAGGAAAAATGTGAAAATTTCTGTTTCCAAGCAAAAGCTGTTGTTAAATGCCAGTGAATTTTCAAACACAAAAAGGTGAAAAAAGCAAACATGCTTACCAGGTAACCACAGGCACCAAAGGCAATATACAGTGTTGTG